TTGTAGATTCGGGGTAGATGAGAGGAAGTTCCGGGGTGTCAATATGTGTGCGACATCGTTTTTGTCATTGAATTGCGTTAATTTTTGAAGACGCAAGGTCTGTTTTGACGTTGGGAGTCATCAAGCTGTGCAGACGGTGTGAAGCATGTTACTTGCCGTCAAGAGGGCAGTTTTTGTGAGTTCGAGGTTGATACGATCGGGTTATTGTATAATAAGAGCTAGTGACGGCATTCCAAACGCTGACAAAGTCAGATGCGACCGCGCCAATGAGAATCGATACTTTTCAAGATTTGACGGACCATATGCTGCATCATGAGACAGCAGGCAATCAGCTGGCCACATGCTTCTCAACGAAGGTAGTTTGATTTATGTCCTATGCACACAGGCTCTGAGGTTAGCCAAGTCCGCATGAGCTACGAGCATGTGTTCAAGTTGCGTTTGAGTTACTATAGGTAACCAAGGTAGGCGACATTGACTACATCTATGAGTAGGACGGGCCGTCGTTGGCCATTAGACGGAGAGAACATGCACAGTTTTTAGGGCCTCATAATCCGCGTTGTATACGTGTACTATCTCGGTGGTTACAACGAGCAGCCAAGGTAGGTAACATATCTTACGGCTGAGTATTGTGTATGTCGTCCGCTGTTAGACCAGGTTTATGAGCAGAGTAAAGATCTCGTATTCATCGTTTCGCGTGAATGCCAGTCCGGTGTTCATGAAAAGATAGCAAAGATAAACGACAAGGCGTGCAGTTGTGAACATGACGGGAAGTCTGGTGACTGGATTAGGTTGTCGCGCATAGCTGATGCCTCATAATCAACGCCACACACGCACGCGGGCTCAGCAGGTATGATAAGTAACCTGGGCACTCACCATCGAGCATAGTTTTGAGTATCACACACCGTCGTTAGCCATTGGTTTAGGATAACGTGCGTATGTTAGGCTTCGTAATCAAGGCCGCTCATAGTCATGGTCCTAACAGTCACAACAAGTAGTTGAGGTGAGTAAAACTGGTATTGTTATCATGGTGAGTGGCAATGGATGCCCCTAGTTTGTCACCATTACATTTGCGCCTCATGACGTAGTCAAACATTGGGCGTCGTATTCTTATCAGGAACGATGTCATTGTGTCGGTAATTTACCTGCCGTTATTTAATGACGCTGTATTATACACAAGCTAGTTATGCATATTTGGGAAAGGGGATTGTCCACAGAGATGGCACTCACACCGCCACTGCACAATTTATGAAGTCGTCTGACAATATTCCACTTGATGGAAGGCTAGTTCCATAAGAAAATGTGTTATGCAGAAGTTCGTTCAAAGAAATCATTTTATTTGTTAAATCTGAAAAGTATAAGGCAAATACATGCCAACGGCAGATATTCCTGGATGGGTTTACGCTGAATACTCTGTAGATGTTATCTTATTATAAAAGAACACTGAAGAACGCCAAAACGTGCAGGAAGGTGATTCCATGATTTATCTCTTGTTTAGTGGTGACAAAATGCGAATTGGTCAAGGTTCGCGGCCACGAAATTTCGTTCACTCAAAAATGATACGGGTAAAAGATCACTGAAAGATGCAGATGGATTAAACTAACTCCTCACAAAGGTCGCAGTTTCGAAAACCTATATTTTCAGCAGAGATAATTCGGGTGAGCTTCTGGTGGGCGGTGTTGGATATGCGGGGTGTAAACATCACCCAATAGGTGACGAGAATGGTGTCGGCTAGTTATGATATTTGGGAAAGGGGATTGTCCACAGAGATGGCACTCACACCGCCACTGCACAATTTATGAAGTCGTCTGACAATATTCCACTTGATGGAAGGCTAGTTCCATAAGAAAATGTGTTATGCAGAAGTTCGTTCAAAGAAATCATTTTATTTGTTAAATCTGAAAAGTATAAGGCAAATACATGCCAACGGCAGATATTCCTGGATGGGTTTACGCTGAATACTCTGTAGATGTTATCTTATTATAAAAGAACACTGAAGAACGCCAAAACGTGCAGGAAGGTGATTCCATGATTTATCTCTTGTTTAGTGGTGACAAAATGCGAATTGGTCAAGGTTCGCGGCCACGAAATTTCGTTCACTCAAAAATGATACGGGTAAAAGATCACTGAAAGATGCAGATGGATTAAACTAACTCCTCACAAAGGTCGCAGTTTCGAAAACCTATATTTTCAGCAGAGATAATTCGGGTGAGCTTCTGGTGGGCGGTGTTGGATATGCGGGGTGTAAACATCACCCAATAGGTGACGAGAATGGTGTCGTTATCTTAACTTATCATTTTGACGCAAACATGAGATGCTAACCAGATACTGGAGATCAAAACTGAGACTGTTTAGAGACGTGTGCGCGAGTGCTGGGATTCAGGGCGTGGGAATTCAGCCCCTGGTTTTTCCGAAGATGCTAATATGGTTCAACATGTAATGATTGCAAATCGTGGTAAGGATATTAGAAGTGTTAATTCTCGCGATCTACGAGGTATCCGGAACCAGAAAGTGGTCGTGGGAATGGAACTGGCAAGCTCTGACATCAAGAAAGCTTGATCAGATAACAAAAATTCAAAGAGAAGGTGAGTGAAGCCTTCGAGGGAGAGGTCTAAATGAGCAATTAATTAGTTTACAATAATGAACTGAGAAAACGCAACGGACATTCCAAGGTCTAAAGAAAATATTTTTCAACACCTGACCACAAGATTCTGGTTTCGCGTACGTTGGTGAACATTTGGCTGGAGGAGTGTGGATGAGAGAACTAAAGAGCAGTAGGAAAACTCCTAATCGTATTGCGTGGGTCTCGGTCACTCTTAGCCGCCCATGTGTGCTGGTAGACTAGACAGGACTGTAGAAGTGTAGGACAGTGGCAGCACGTTGACAGGGACAATTATGTAGATGAAGACCACAAGTGCCTAACGAACTCACGACTGACACTGGCAACAACAGGCCCACTGAGGAAACGTGAGGCGTTACCCCTTGTGATGCGATTAACTGAGTGACCGCCGTAAATAAATAGTTTTATAGTAAAAAGTGGGTAAGGAACTAAGGATGGGATAGAATCCAAATGCGAGTTCTCATAAAATTTGCCTTTGAAATTTCAGCTTTCCGGGGTGTCTGGAAACAGTTGATGTAATAAGCGCTCACGTGGACACCAAAGGTCAAGAAGGAGAGTCGGCAAGCCGCGAAACCCATAGAAGCCGTGCTGGGATCACGCCCTGGGTTAGGACCAGATATCCTTAATCTCTGGTGAAAAGCTTTCCACGCTGGACGTTGAGTTTCAGCGCAGTATCATCGCCCCAGACCACCAAGTGCCTAATTACGTTTTTGGCAATTCAGAATATAAACAACTATAGCTTCATCTCTAAATAACATGATTCCAAAGGCCATCTACAGTTGATGACAGTGACTCAGAAATAAATTACCGGCACCGCAACTTCCGTCAATAGAGAAGACATTTGTGAGTAACGTTTCCAACTAATTGGGAAGGAATAGCCCGTGACTACTGAGAAAAAGTAAATAAAGGGAGACCCAATAAATGTTAGGTGGAATGTGTTGCTTCCAATAAGCAGGCTATATAACTAAAATACATACATGATTTTTGACACGTCTGTGGATCCTGATGGCTTTGGGGATGCGGAAACTAAGCAATCTGACACGAAAACCAAACACAAAAATGGTAGCCCATATGAGTGTCACACATTTATTCAAAACGAATCATTTCATTTGATAATTCCCACCTCAGGGCCTTGAACAAGCTAATCAGCTTACAAAAACAGGCGAGGTGCTCATTTTCTACGGGCAAGACATGTAATGGTCTTGTTACTCAAAAAGCTACTTCATCAGGAGGGTGTGGCAAAGAAATAAAAATACTAACGCTAGTTTGAGTACACAATAATAAAGATGGATGGAACAGACTCCTTTAGGATTGTTCTCTTTAAAATAGTTCGTCGTTGGTCCAGGTCAGCTAATAAACAATAGTCCAATCTTGATTTTCCAGGAGTCTTCTTCTCGACAGTCCTCGCTTAAAGATTCCGAAGATAGTCTAAGATGTTGTGACACCAGGGTTAGCAAATGAATCTGGCTAATGTCCGCTGTAAGCGCGAGCAAAATCAGGACAGAGAAGCATCTTTGTATCGCGTGAAATTGAACAAATGCTCGTTTTTGTAGTTTCTCGTGTTCAAACAAAAAACTGCTGTGCAACTGACAAAATATGTTATGTAATAATGAAAGCAAAATAAAAATTCACAGCAACACTTGCGAGGCGATTGTTTGCATGAAAATAACTGCAGTCTTGAGCTTCAGATTACACCCTCGTGTAATGTGGGTTCATTGGGCCACACATGTGTCTTTCAGAGTTCTTGAGGAGGCGGAGGTACATGAGACTGTAGCCTGTCTTGCAAAACGCAGAAAGGAAGAGGATATCGCTTTGGGTGCTCAGTAGTTACACAGTGGAACTGAATTTTCGAAAGCTATGACGTGTCCCTGATGAACTGAAGGAATCAAGAAATAGGGTCAAGAGTACCAGTCCAAACTTCTAAGCCGCATTTAGGCATCCCGGGTTCTTAGCTATGCTGGGGGGTGATCCCACAATACTTTTCCACTAGGGGTATTATTGCTTCAGCGAACAATGAAATTTGGTGTGCTGCGTAAATACGGAAGCAGATGAGGATATTTTTTCATTTAAGCACATATACAACAAAATGCAACATTCAACCGCAAAAATTTTTACTCCGCTTGTACAGGTTTTGCAGCTGAAAGCATTGTGCGGATAATAGGCATCATCGATTTTATTACCGTGGGCTCATAAATGCGGAGCGGTACTCCAAAATGAAGCAGGAGGGAGTCACCACAACTAAATCAACGGCGGCGCACCAAGCTAACCGATATACACATCCAATGACCTCTCCGGAAATATTGTTTTAATGTAGCACTCAAAAAGTTCATGAATCGCCATTTCAAGGCCCGCATGTGACGCACTTTCAAGTTTCGCGACTAGGATGTCCATGCAAGAGTTCTCGGACAATCTGTCGACCCTGTCGTATGTATCCCGGCGCCGTATACCACTTTGGCTTTATGACCCAAAGAATAAGGCGATTCTTGGCAGAACTGCCTGTAGTTGGGGTACGCGACTGAGTTTATTAAAGATTAGTTGTATACAGCGCTGTGCATTTTGTTTTATGTTGTCTATTACCTTTGCTTGGCTGGATTCTTCATGGGAATGATGATGGTATTTCTGCATACGCAAGTACCCGATGATGAACCAGCTCGGTCTGGGATGCATAGTATTTTGCAGTTGCAACCTGGTATGTCTTTTGCTATCGTGAGTTTCAACATCTAGGCGTTGGATTTCGTCCAATGGTCGATGTGCAGAAGTCACTCATCAAATTCGCAAGGACGGACCCGCAAAGCTTCCTAGTTTATACTGAAAATATTGACGCTTTCCTGGAAACGTACCGTGTAGTAAACGCCAAACCTGAAAATCAATTTGCCAACTGTACGGATGGGGTAAAAAGCCCCGACGAGCCAGAAAAGGTCTGCAAGTTTCCTTTAGAGCAACTTGGAGTTTGTAATGCCGAAGAAAAGTATGGATATCCCGAAGGCAAACCCTGTGTTATTCTGAAACTTAACAAGGTGAGCCCCGTGCTTAGCTTTCAACCATCAAAATTTGTCAGCTGAAATGTTTCTACTGGTGATAAGGTTCTTGTTAAGTTTCAGCGAACAGATATACCCCAATCGACTTTACTGGTGCTTAGACCCTCAATACACTACATGGATGCTACACTACACGGATACATTGATTGCATTCTGTGTCGCTCAGAATACCAAATTGTTAATGTGACCGCGAAATTTTTGGAAATATTAGAACACGCAACGAATCAAATGGCAAAATAACGTGCTCCGCTGTCTCAGCAATGTCTTTAAGCAAACCTTGATCTTTTTTCCGCGCGTCCATGTTGCTTGATACGACTCTATTGGAGCGACGTCTCTTGCACTGAGTGCATTTCTAGACTTCCACTCACATTTTGAGTGTTGTTCTAAACTTTCAGACTGCGACCAGTTCTACACCAAAAGGTATGAATCGGTCTTTATTTCTCTACTACATACGTCGCTTCCGTACCTCAATTTCTACGGTAGCAACTGGAACAGGGTAGCTTCCGATAGCCATTGAAAGGTGACGCATTTTAACACAGGCATTGTATACTTTTGTCTGGCCGTATAGCACTATGGCCCAGCAGCTATAAGAAACAATGAATCGCCTGCTCTTTGACGGCAGATAAATATGCTCAGTGTATCCTGGCACCCGACGGCAAAAATAATGGTTCGTAACAGTCGTCTTAGCGTGTCCGTTAATCTAATTTAATAAGCATATCCATCCCGGTTTTTTTTCGAAACACCTCTTCTGACTACTAGTTTTATTCGGCTGTTCGTTGAAGGGAAAATTATTATTGCTCACAGATGTAGGGTCGCATAGACCCTTGAAACAAAGATCTTACATCACTGAACTTCTTTTTGAGACAGAATAAACCGAATTAACCGACAATCAACGCTGCTGGCTTATCTGCAAACTCCAGCGAGCGTTTAATCTGTCCACTCACTGCGGATTCCTAAACAAACTGTCCCCCTTCATGTTCTGGAGGTCTTTTTCAAACGACAAAAACAGATACTACTAGGAGCTCTACTGTCTTTATCAGCAAGCCTGTACTGATTGCATCTAGGACCAATATTTTTCAGGGATTATTGTCGTTACGGACAGCAGCTCCAGTGGAAAACGCCCCGGTCCATCTATCATAAAAGCTTGTTTTCATATTAGGATAAAGCACTGAGTTGCATATAATACAGAATAGTTCGATAGTAATCCGTCATAAACACTAGTGCTTTTAGCGCAAAGCATTTACATAACCTTACTGGATGTAGGCAGGCTATGAGAACGCCAAAGACGTTGGCTGGCGAACCGGACACATAAACCTCATTCTGTAAGATGAACAGCGTTAAACACCTCCGGATGATTGTTTAATTTTTGTCACAGATTCCGTTGTTGCAGTATAATCTGACTGCCCTGCACCATCTTGTAAATGGCTCGAAAATCGGTCTTTTTTGGACGACAAAGTGGTGCTACATGTGACTGACCCACCTGACTGACCAGTCTGCGTGGTTTATGCATTCCAAATTGGCTGCCCGCCAATTGCTTACTTCCAGAGTATGACGTTGCTACTCTATTGATGTTTGTCCTCTCTAGCTAATTTTATGAGGCTCATTATTCAAGACTCGGGAGCTTTTCGGAATCTCCGCACAGCAATGCCACTTCTCTAAATCACAATATGTACTACAGCTGATTGCACACGACTTTAGACTTGAAATCATTGGATAATCTCCATGCATCTTGGATCCTTGGCTTATGGACTTTATAGAGATCTTACTGGATCAACACTATGACTTTTAAAACTTCCTGCAAAAGACCCGCCGAGGCTCCTTGTGCTAGGTCAAGGCATGTTGTGGGCGTAGAACGCACACCAGAAAGTTGAGAACCAGTTAGCTCCTCCACAATGCCTACGCTCTCCTTTTCTCGAAGCAAAGCCAATGTTGGCTGCATTTAACGAGTCATCATGAACCTTGTCGTTAACTTTCTACCAAAGGTTTTAAGCCCCATCGGCTCACAACTGATTTTCCAGCGTTGGTGCACTAAGAGGTTCGGTTCAGTTCAGTTTCTATGCTAAAAACCGTGTACCAGTAGTGCATTGGTTTTAGATGCTGTATTTTTGTTCACCGAAACTTGGTAGAGCATGGAAGATACGACCAAGCTTCAGAGACGATAGCGTGCTCACTTAGTTCGAAAACTGGGTGGCTACACATTGAAGGCGATATCTTTGATACATCAGCATCACTGACTGCACGGTTGGGTTACATCTACCAACGTCATTAACCAATAGCCTCATTTGGGTCGATAACTGCCGCCTTCCTGAATGGGGATCCAACGACACAACTTACCAATGGTTAATGTTAGCATATTTTGCTGCCCGGTCGTACACTGTCCACCTCTTGGTCGCTTACATTCATCACAAGGTTTGGCAAAAAGAGTCAGACGCAGAAGCATGCGCATTACATCTCCTAACTAACCTATGGAGCATGACTAATTCATCTATTTGCTAGACTTTCTTCTTCCTGAAACTATCTGGCGTACCTCAGCATTACTAATCCGACATTTTCACCAGACCCAACTAATATCTTGCAGATATTGATGATCAAAAACTGACATATTTCTATGTCCTCTGCGCGTAGAGACAATGTTTATGATCCATGAAGCAATGTGAGAATTTGGCGCTCTTCAAGAACTTACTTCAAGTAGAGATCTCTTCTCAACCAGGGCGAAATTCAGCTTGGTTCTCGTGAACTTGTCTCTCCCGGCAATCAATTAGCCTACACAATAATGCCAGGAAGCAACTTGGTACCAAGGCTACCAGTCTGGTGCAATGATGTTCTACGCATAACTTTCTTATGTCCTACTTGAAGCCCGCTCTATTCCACTGGTATTCTATTTTTGTTCCAATTCTTCTGCAGTGTGATCGTCAGACTGTTCATCAGGCTTTCACGGGGTGCAGATCATTCGGACCGTGTGCCCTGTTGAGTTGAATGAGGATATCTCACGCTGTATTTCTGTTGTTGGCGGTGGTCTGGCGTCAATGTTTAATTCATATCCGTAGGTTACCTCCAGCGGTTGTTGAAAAAGACTATCTGAACTGCTCCTTGGATTGTTCATTCCATCGCCTCAGACGACAATATTGCGAGTGAATTGCCACTACTTTGGGTACGCATATCGTCTCACTGACATCTGCTTCTTTGTGGCCGGCTGATCGTGCCAAATGAAGCGTAGCGGAGCTGTTGTCTGCAGCAGAAACCTTCTACATCTCCTTAGCCTTCGAACTCCAGCAGCGTTTTGTCATTTGGTGTTATCCGGTGTTTGAGGGCTTTGCGTGCGCCATAACAGTCGCTAATTGCTGGTATGGTCCTTTTGGCAGCGATAATATCTGCTGATCTTGACGATATCCATTCTTCATTCAGTCGAGTCCGATGGCTTGGACAGTCGGTTCGGAAAAATGAGAGCATAGTTTCTTTAACTCGCGCCCAGTCACCCTCCAACCAGTCTTCATCATCCGCATGACTAAGCATTTAAGTAGCTTTGATTTGAACGCCGACTCCAAATCTACCATCACTTCATTTAAGCGCAAATCCCAAACCGTCGATAACGACCCATTGCGTCAGGAGCACCATATGTCCGAAATGTGGAACATTTAATCTCATCCCATGCAACTTAGAATGCACGACCGAGATGGGTCTTGTATGTTTGTTTCAGGGAGAAAACATACATCGACGAAGGGGGAAAGCAATGTCTAAGTAAGAGATACCTGTTGCTTATTTTTGCAGAGTACGGGCATTAAAGATGCAACATGGACCAGATCTTTTGAAGGTAGTGAGTAATCATTTTGGTTTGCATTTTTTGCCAATGGTTTGGACGCGGAACATTATCTAGGTGACTGGCAGACGGGTTGACTGCATTTCATTATTCGATGGGTGGGGAAGGAGTGGGGAAAGGCCTGTGAGCAAAGAGCTGTAAGTGCGAATGATACTTTCTGGTTTCCAATGCTTCAGAATGGGGTGTGGTTGAGATATTCCACCTCAGGCATGTGAATCGAAAGCCTGACACACAATCGAGCGGGAGGATACACGGTTTTCTTAGGGTACTCTGCCGTTTCACCAACCTTTGATTCGAAATTTCGAACCGCGATCCAGCTGCCTTTGCGGCTTGCCTGTTTTTTTTTCAGGTCCAATGATTAAACAGCCTGACCCACTTGGCTGCAGCGAACTGACCTGGTACGAAGCACGAAATAAGGCATTTCTGTCTCACTCCTAGTGCGGCCGCGCACGGCAGGTGCGTTCCGAGCAGCACCACACTTCGGTTGTAAAACTATTTCGACCGTATTGATAAATGAGCCAGCAGTCTGACATTTTCTAGCATATCCTTCCTTGGGGAAAGCAGAATCGCCGCTCCTATAAATATGGAGATGACCGAAACGCCTTACCACATTCACACCCCTATCGCGAAGGACAGTACGATTCTACCTCCAGACCGCCTTGTAATATGGTCTCTCGCAGTGTGGTGACTAGCTGTTCTGCGTGTAGCTTCTCACCGCTGGCCTTCCTGGTATAGTTTGTGAAACTGAGTTGTAGCCCGCAGGGTTTCTGCAGCATGATAATGTACACAATGAGCAGCTGCATTATTCCCGGTGGTCTGGCGAAAGATGGTAATTCTATCCGGATTGGGAAGGCCAGAGCAGCTTTTGTGAACCTACGTCACCTGTGGCGTAGGCGTGATATCAGATTCTCTGTCAATGGTCGGGTTTACAATGCTGCGGTGCGCTCCATATTACTATATGGATCAGAACCCTGGCCGCTGCGCGCCGAGGACGTCAAAAGACTTTCAGTGTTTGACCATCGATGTCTTCGGAGCATTGCCCGACTCTGGTGGGAACACCGGATCAGCAATGTGGAATTGTGTCAGTGGTATCCGGAAGAAATCACTCACCCTCGATAGATGAACGGATCACACTGCATAGGTTGCGCTGGCTTGGCTACGTGCTGCTTATGCCAGTTGACCGACTTCCTTGAACGGTTCTTTTCGCATAACCACATGAATGGTGAAAACGACCCAGATGTGGTCAAAGAATGATCTGGCAGTGGAGTATAAAAAATTATTGCCAGCAAACTTAACTGCGCTGGTCGCTGCCGTCTCCCTGGATGGGGACCGCGAGACGGGCCACATCAACGGCTAGAGACATTGTCAGACATGGCCCAGTCGCGCCCTCAATGGCGCTCGTGCACCCAAGCTATCGTCTTCAATGCCCAGCTCTCTTCCAGATCTCCCAGTTAACGGCCCACTGACAGTGTTGTATTTACGCACCAATTTTTCAGCTCCCGCCTCCAATGCGCAGCTACCTCCTTTACCTCCCCAACTCACCGAGAAACGAAACTGTATCAGCTGCAACCACTGCACAATAATTATGTGGTTCTTACAGCTGACAATGATGATGATGATGACCGTTCTATGTGAGAACAGAATAAGAGGGAAACGAGTTGAATATAGAGCTTTGTTGGACATCACTACGTGTACCCACAAGCTTGTAAGTACAGAAAGCCTATGATATTTGCACATTTTTACGGCATGCTTTGGCATGTCTAGGCTAACAGGCCGGTCAAAAAAATTAAGGACACCCTTGAAATCTAGGGATATGTCTTGAGTGCCTTTCTAATGACATCAAACGACTTTGAATAAACTTCTGCCTGCTGTTCTTGAATCATTTAATCAGTAGTGTTGTAGAGCAATAAACAGTAAATTACACTAACAGTTGCAAGAGCAATAATTGTGATGCCTCAGAAAATACCCCCTCCCGCAAATAACCATCATTTGCATTTCGGATCCCTTTGGTTTTTTCTGCGCAATAACAAAAGGACAGTAAAATAACTGCCGGGAGATTTCACCTACGTTTTCAAACGACGGGTGGTAGTTTTTAACCCAGAAGCCTGGTAACGGGTGAATGAATCTGTTTGCTTCTTATGCTGTCGAAGTGTCTTGGTTTGGGCTTGTGTTGCCTTCCAAAAGTCCACCTGGTTATCAGTAGGCAGTCAACCAAAACTACCATTTCAAGTGTTCTACTCATGAATTGGAACCCCCATATTCTTGTCACTAATTCGTTCACTTAACTACGGGCGTTTCTCCTGGACCAGTTAGGATAAATATAGCCGCACGACTTGGGCAAGTCTACGGCCTTATAAAATGTCCAATGCTTCATTTTATTTGGTTACACTTTACCGCAAGCAAAGCGCCCAGTATTACCCGTGTGGCAACAAGCACAGTTCACCACTAGCCTACATTTTGTGAAACAGCCTAAGAGAAGCTTCAGTTGACTATGTTAATGAGTCCATTTGTATGTTGGGCGCGTAAACTCACTGATAACCGGGCATGTACTCCGTTTGTATGCCTATTATTGAAGAAGAGAAGTATCAGGGACATGTTTGAAGCAACGGTCAGCCGCTGAAGCTTATGGCAGTCCATATTACGGACAACCGACGTTGGTACAATATACGGAGAGAGAAGACAGAAACAAGAAACACTGCAGAAATGTTCTACGTTTGTTACGTGGCTTTGTTAATTGATTTACCAACGCCCATCTTAATTGCTGAGCGTCCGAATATCTGTTTCTGAATGGATCTGCACAAATGCTATCCAGTACAAATACATACTCTAAAAGGACTTTGCAGAGAAGTTGCAACGAAAAGAGGTTTGGGGCACAGACTAAAGCCTCTTCCAAATAGGAGAGGATATTATGCGCCTACTAGTCTTACTGTTTCAACAATCATTTACAAAAATTATTAACGTATGAAGTTGGCAATCTTTGAAAGCTTTCTTGGTTTCATATAAGTCAAAGAAACTGATAAACTGCGACCACTATTAAACAGTGCTGTAGTGAACGGTCTGTTCAGAGCTAGGATGCAATAATGCCCACATGACATTCAGACACTGCCTTCTACTGATCAACTGAATGACAAGTTCTCTGAAAATTAGAGCTTTCTGACAACGTCCGCTTTTTTTTCGGCTATCAAGACCATGCATGTCCTCAATACTAACACAAAAGATCAAGAGTAGTGATTACTTTTTTCGCTACAGGACCTTCGGTTATTTATTCCGATATATATACTCTTGTAACATGAGCAAACGCGTATTAGGTAGTTGCAAGTACAGAAAACTTCGCATGTTTATTAGGGAGAAAAACCTTCAAAGGTGGATTCTCCACCTATTGTACAACACTTTGACTAACTCACACATATCAAGATCCTCCTGAGTAAAACTGGATAAATCTGTGGTTTAGAAGACAAACATTGCGACAACAAGTGAGCATGTACTTTTTGCCCGAGTCTAGCAGGAACACTAAAGCAGTCATACCAGGAGAATTAATTCGTTCGCGATAGATGAACTGATCACAATACATGGGTTGCATTGGCTTGGTCATGTGTCCCATATGCCAGCCAACCAACTTCCTCGAGAAGCCCTTTTGGAAAATACCTCGAGAAGTGGAAACGTGCCAGGGTAGATCAAACAATGACTTGGCAGCGAAGTTTTAGGGCCATTACCATCAGACTCAGATGCACTGGTCATTGCCTTCTCCCCGTATGTGGACCATGAGACGGCACAAACCCATGTTTAGAGACATTGTCAAACAGGACCCACTCACTTCCCCAGTGGCGCTCATGCATCCAAGCTGTTGCCTTCAACGCATATCTCCTATTTCGATACCCCCAATGAAGGGTCCATAGACACCCTTGTATTTACGCACCAATCCTAACAGCTACCGCCTCCAACGCGCAGCTATCTACACCACCTCCCCAAATCGTCGGCTAGCTGAACGATAGCAGCTATGACCATTGTACGGCAAGTATTCTGTTTTTACAGCTGATGATGGTCATATGTTTCGCCGCCCATAATACCAACTATATCGTTTAACATCGCCTCACGTGGTGTGGTCTTTGTTAAACATTTGGAATACTTCAAAGTTGGATTGTTGTGAATAGTTAAGTGTCCTTACAGTTGGTCTACTATTTTGGCCACGTGTGAATTATGTTTTCAAACATTGTGAACGAACTCACTGCTAGTATTATCTAAAACCCTAACAGGTCCCCCTTTGTGACGGAATTGAGAGGCAGACTTGCTGGCGTCAACTGTCCTCCCCCTAAACCACTCGGTACTCGCAGGCCTACAGACCATTTCATTGCGATCTACAGCTTGTGTACTTGAATCCTACGTATTGACCAAGCAGTGTGATGTTGACTGCGAAGCCACTTTGGATGGAGTGTTTGCTGTTTGTGTTCTGTTCGTCAGTGGTCATCACCACTTAGACTGGCGATGATCCCGATGACTCGTGAAACGTTCGTAACGCAGAGATAGATGTTGGTAGCTCCAATGCAAAGATCTAGAAACCATCCTGTGGTTTACTTTCAGGCTTCATTCTTTCGTTTCATAGGACTTCACAGATGTGTTGTATGTTGGGTTGTTGGTCCCTAGGAGTTGCCAGAGAGTGCAATTTTACCGATGCACTAGTACTCAATGTCATTTTTGAGTATTTCAAAAATGAAATGTGTTACTGGAATGTACTTGCCAACCTTTTGCGCATAGTAGTGATATCAGTTCATATCTACGTTTCCCTTACTAGCCTCAGTAAAGTAAGGACAATGGGTGTGGACTGATTGGGACAATTACCGCGATACTAGGAACTGAAGAATTTGTGAGAGGTGGTATGTGGAGGACGTATTAGTTGCGCAGGTGTCCTGCTCTCAAATCTGCCAAAAAACTCATCCACTATTTTTCGCTTTTTTTCAGATATATGGCTGGCTACCGAGTATAGAAAACGCCGATGTGGCACCAAACGCGTTGATTAACTGCACAGGCCAAGTGAGCATTCTTGAGTATTTGAGTCTCTTTTCCCGCCTCTACCACTTCTCTAACTTTTCTACCAAATTGAACTGATTATTGAAGTTGATTCATCGGTTTGTGAGGCTATTCATATTTGTCAGTGGTGGCGATATGGTTGTAGTATTCCATCCCGATTCCATTGGCTTTTTTTACCCCAGCTCCTCTTTATAGGGAGACGTGCGTGATAAACTTTATTCGCCATCATTGTAACCAGCCAGTTGAATTCAGCAAGAACCCAAATGATCCGATGCCATTGCTTTTCAGGAATAAAACACAAAAGCTTTTTGCTCCGCATGCTAATCACTTTAACCCTGTACCTAAATTTCACGAGGTATCAACCGAAAACCTTGTTGAAAGGTAACCTGATACCAGAAGGTAAACCAACACTAAGTGAATTAGCCCATTTAGATCCGATTTACAGATAGTACAAAATCAGTATCTCACTTTTATTTACTTTGTTCCTCTTTAGGTTTTATTAATCCAACTATGGACCTACCGATGAAATTTGTTGGTGACAAAATTGTGGTTACTCCAGTAGAAAAATTTCCTAAAAGGCAATGTACATGAGTCTACCGATTTCCAGATTTGTCATGATCATCATTATTATTGACAGTAACACACATGGGTATTTAAATGCCATACAGCCATGAGAGGAGAAAGTCGTAGTGAGTGGAATGAAAAGGGAAAACTAGGGAATTCGTGTAAAGGAGTCCTATGTTCTTAAAGAAAACTACCCAGAGTAAGGTGCCTAAATCTTTGGACACCTTTAAAATAAACACATCTGAGCATGACGTCGATGGAATTACACCATCAGCGGAATCTACCGATCGGCCTTTGTGAACCTCATCCGACATGAGCCCAGTGCACAACGACAGAAGAACTTTAGCTAAGCAGTTTGGAAAAGGAATTGCAACATGAGCACCACTAGGATCGGTTGCGTGCTATGCCCAACCGCCTGCAAGCGGGACCACGTGGGCTCTAGCCAGAAACGTGCGAAGATTCCACAGCACTCAGTTTTACAGTTGTGGGCTTTGAATTTTTGATCTAGCGTTGAGTTAAACTTTCACGTCTCAACTTCATTTCATAATATGTCGCACATGAATCCTCGATAATTTGAAAATTTTTGTGACAGATGGACCTCATCTGAGCCGGAGTGTGTCAATATATACCAGTCCCGGTAGTTGTGAATTCTGTCACCTTCATTGGTTGGATAAACCAGAAACACGCTTTGAAAAACTGCTCCGGCAAACTGTTTACATCAATGAATAATATTTTAGGTGAACAGTTCAGTCAAAAACTTTCGTTGTAATCTGGTTTTCTGAAACTCTCGTTGAATGAATTTTTGTTCTAAGCTGTCAGTTCTTCAGAGCGTGTGAAATTGGTCCTTTTGTGATTACAACAGTGTTAGCCCCATGAATATCCTATTAGAACTAACAAGTGGTAGACAAAGTTAGATTTCCATGTTTCTTATGAGGTCAACTATTACGAATTCGTTCAAAAATACATCGTAGTTGTGTGCGTTCAAATTTGCCTGCAGATTTCCCAGAACAAGGCAGACAAAGTGCTTATCATCATCATTTATTAGGGCACTGGGGGTCTGACCAGAAGCTCGAAGGTCCTAGGTCTTCTGAAGAGAGACCTGCGATTATACGTTCGGATTTCAGTTGCCTCTAGAATTGATAGCATTCTGTTCCTGATTAATCCAAAGGTATCCAATGGATGACAAGACTGGCATCTTCCTTTTGCAGGGTGATCGTTTTTGACCAGATGGTTCGCGACAGCGTGATGACCACTTTGGGGGGGGGGGTATGTTCACATATTTTTCTTGACAAACACTTATTTGTGCGGTCTGACCACGACCTTTGACACGACAGCGTGATGAGTACATTCGAGAGCTGGATTATGGTTATTTGACTTTCGGCTGAAACCTGATGGCAGGATGGAACTGAAACCGAAGCGTAAACTGATTTCCTTGTACGTACACTGAATAATACTTTTTGACCATCCGGCATTCAGTACTACTCTCAGCACTACTCTGCGAAGCGTCACGAACAAGCATTCGGTGAATCATATTATCCTACTTGGTACTGGGTTTGGTTCCCATTCTAGTGGCACAAAACTGTCAAAGTGATCGAACTATCTGTTTGCGTCAGCTTCGTATGTGTCCCGCGCTGAGCACTTCCGCCATGCTTTCTTAGGCTATCAACATCGAGGATATATAGCCGGTTCTTGCGTCCAGTTTCCGTAGCTAACTGGTTATCATTTGCTGTTCGTTTTACTTTAAAATGACCACCTCCTGATTTGAAGGTCTCTGTGACAAATAGGGAGAATGTCATAGTTCCGTGTACGTAGTCACACCTATGGCTGAATATCTGGGTGGCAAACCTGTTGAGCGGGTCCCGAGCGTAATCATGTACATACCGCCCACTGAGTGATCCATATCAATGACGATGATGATAGCTGTCAGCTCATTCACTGAGACCTAACGGAAAGCTTAAACCTGAACGTAATGCTTCAGTCCAACTAGTCAAATCGGTTACCCCCTACGAGTGGGACTAGCATGAATTTTGTTGATTGCGTGGTAAAGTCAAACACCGGGTAGATTAGCATTTGCTTCTAAAATTGATTTCGTTTGTTGCACAAGTCTACTGGTGGTCGAGTGTTTTGAATTACACTGTAGAGCTTCTGACCTAAAAGTTGCATGACCGCTGCCCCTCCCGTTTTCTGGGACTAACATACCTGGCTTTCTAGGATCCAACTACTTCTTTCTTAATGAATGGATTTCGACTCTATTATTTCTTCTTGAACATGCCCATTCTCAACCGATTTCATGGTACTCTTACCCTCGGAATGTGGAGTACCGTGAACGTTCCCATCCACCATTGACAGACACATTCTAAAGTAATAATACTGTACAATGACGGAAATTATGTTTTTTTTACGATCTGGTGCTGCGCATATGGGACATTTAGATCATCCAGTCTGTTTGATATGATTGTTTAGAGGCAGCCACCTTAATTGATTCTCTGCCACCATTCGGTTTTGCTGGCCACCGGAATCCAGTTCATTTGGAACACTACATTCCTGTCTGTCATTCTTGTGCTAGGTGTGATCCCAGTATCCATATTTCGGGTCTTCATCCACAATTTGCCACGTACTGATTGTTTCATCCAAAATCTCTCCATTTGCTTACTTCTGAAACTACAAACTAAACTCTTTTACCATTGAGCTAGTATTTTTCAGAAACTATCTTACCATACAAACATCAGATTTCCATTTGGAAACGCCACTTCTCTGATGGATAGAATCCCTTGTTTCCTACACATGAACACCGAAACAAGCGGCTTTTGCATAAACTATTTCGGTGGACAGTTTTCTAGCTAATCTCTGGATAGCGTATCAGAAAAATCACGGGTTCGTTTTATGGCAGTATGGATCACAGGATGCCTGGTGCCTTAACTAGCCAGGTGCTGAATCCCTCGAATGTAAACTGGACTCCATAACTTGCGTTTAAGGGTCAAGCATGTCCAATAAGTTTACCCGAACGTGCGAACATAAGAGATTCTTCCTGTCTGACTTGTTTATATTTTGGCTGCAGGGTCAAACCAGCATATCACATCCTGTGAAAGCACAAACGGGGGATGACAGTTTCTACCAGTACACTCATTTGTATATCAATTTGCTTTTGGCAGGAGACTCACCTAGAACCCAACCGAACCTCTCGTTTATGATGTTCTTAGGAAAGAGAGAACAACGTCCAATAATGATAAAAAGCACGGGAAAATTGTGGTGAAAGTGGAGGGAATTTATGGTAGAATGATTTATTTTTATAAATACTGTGCTGTTGAAACGGATGGAGACCAACAGCACACGTAAGAAAAATATCATTCCGTTCTTTTTTCTTAAGGAACAGATAAGAACAGTGCGGCAATCGTTTTTTCCTTCCCAGGTATTTGGCTGTCCAACTGACACGCACACAAGCAAGCACATCAACCCATTCAAAAACATATGGAGCATAGCCAGATGGTCTGGTTAAAGCTGTTCAGTACTGTGAATGATAAAGGACGTTTCACTGTGAATTCTCGAGTTATTTTACTTCTAATTCAGATGGACTTCGTAAGCTCCTCAGACTGTTTCATCATGTAGTAGGAGTTGGACACACCTCGGGTCGACGGTCAAAAGATAACTGACTCGGGTGAGTGGGGATGGATGCAATCAAGGGGAACCTGTGAATGACGTTTCGCAGACCTTTTCTACCTGAGTGGACGCAGAACAATACGTCCGAATTGTTGTACACCACAACTCGAGTGTGTGCGTTTCGCATTCGGAAAAAATGACTCATGTGGACATTTACAGAAGTGGCGTTTTTGGTCTGAATTTAGGTTAGTCGAGGTCGCTGTGCACAAAACAGTCGAGTGATAGTTAACTAACACACTGTGTCCGTAATTGCACTTAAATGAGTGAACCAGGCTACAAAACAGAAGTGGCCACCGTCTGGTTGCAGCACACATGTGGTCGGTCCCGAAAAAACAATCCACTATGTGTTCTGTCCTAATTATGACTCATTTGGTGTGCATGAGGTTACGCCAGGGTAGTAGGAAAGTTTTTAATTATGCGGAAAACAATACACATCTGCTATGTGACGATATGCATATTTTGTCCCACACATTCAAGTGTCGACCAGATATTTGACTAAAAAGAGCCAACCTATGGCCTGGTAATCATGCGGTCCTCCTGGAGGATCAATATTTAATTAGGACAAAACACCGCCCATTCACGAGCGGTCCGACCGTCGAAGTCAACGACTAGTTGGAACAACGTACACAATCCATACTTCGAACCATCTAAATCAAGAATCACGATATTGCCAGCTGGGCGGGAGGGTTTCCACCACATTCAATGTCGACCAGATATTTGACTAAAAAGAGCCAACCTATGGCCTGGTAATCATGCGGTCCTCCTGGAGGATCAATATTTAATTAGGACAAAACACCGCCCATTCACGAGCGGTCCGACCGTCGAAGTCAACGACTAGTTGGAACAACGTACACAATCCATACTTCGAACCATCTAAATCAAGAATCACGATATTGCCAGCTGGGCGGGAGGGTTTCCAGAACTTGCCTACTGAAAGGCTTTGAATCGTTGGGGACGAACACAAAAACTCGCTACTCTTCCGCGCCCAACGATAATATGCCGCCCAGGATTTTCTTGTTTTCAATCCGCTAGTAAGCTTCATACGGAAGGTCCGCGTTTCGAACCCGATTTCTACCTCTCGACTTCCCCTGTCTAGGCTTGGGCAACCTGGCAGTATCCCAGTACTCGTGCTTCCTTCTGGTGGCATTGCACCTAGACGCCAAAAGGTGTTACAGCTGAACGATTTTTTCTTGATACGGTGTTTTTTTTAGCAAAATGCAGCCACTGCGATGTTTTGATTTCAAAAATAATTCCATAAAATACTGCGACATTTTTTGTACTTGAATCTTATTGTTCTACTACCATTCTGGGTGAAAAGCTTTTGAAATCAACCCTTAATCTTTGTATTCGTAACACGCAATGGTCAGCCTGTGAAACATCTGACCTTAAAATTTTTTTTCCCGTCGAAATAAGACAGTGCAAATCACTCATGATGTAGTATGTGTTTAGAGATCACCACAGTTCCGCTTCTCTTGGACCGATTTTTGAATGATAACGCTTGTACATGACAGCTGTCTATCTGCAACAGCTATACTTCAAGACCAACGTCGAAATTGAGATCCGTCGTACCTATCTTTTCGGATCCCGATCTTTCAGTCTCCATTATCTCCGGATATGTGGAGCTTTCAAGCAACCCTTATGGAATCCAGAGGACGAGATGGCTCGAGTACTCAGGGCATGAATTTACTGACCGGAAGGTCCGCGGTTCGAACCCGACCTCTGCATTTTGACTTTACCTGTCTAGGCTTGGGTAACCTGGTAGTATCCCAGTCAGGCACCGGAAGGGTGCCACAGCTGAACAATTTTTCCATGAACCTTAGAGCAGTCTTTACGAAAAAGTTGGTTACAACCATAGGATTTGGTTTTTACAAGTAAGTAATGAACTTTATACCCTAACCCAACTTTTCGTAGGAGACAATGGCAAAAGGCCACGAGATAAATAATCCAGTCATTCTCTCCGGTTTCTTTTTAGGACAATTCTTTTTCTATTATTCATAAGCTTGAAGTAACTCTTTTCCCACGTGTCTCTTGTGATCCCTATCTCTCTCTCTCCTTTATCGATTTCTTCGCACGGTCATCTGTTACTAGCATTTCAATGGACTTGTGACCGTTAGGCCGTTTTTCTGTCGACCGTATATGGTATCCATAAACAGCACACGTGACCACACCCAAGGCAATCAACGTAGGAAACGAAAGAGTAACAAGTGGTACAGTCCGAAAAAACAGAATGGGAAAGAGCAATCATCTGATTTTACGTGTCCCGGTTAGTGGTCGCTGATGTTCACCTGCCCCACATTGGCAGCTTAGTTTACCGAGCTGCTTAGAAGCCGTTACTCCTCGCTTCAGAAGGCAACAATATGGATTAGGTGTGTTGAATAGGGTTTTTCAAAACTCGTGTAATCAGTTTTAGCGATAATGCAAAGCACCTCGCTCTCGGAACAACAAACCAACAGCTATTCTCCTCCGTCTGTTCTACACTGGCAACACCAATCCCTTCCTAACTTCAGCACCAATGGTAGGCTATGGACCACAGCAATGGTGACAAATAGCTTCCCTTTCGAAAAAAATATTGCATGAATCGTTTTTATGTGTTCTACTGCATTGTGCCTTGAACCAATGGTCATCAAACATCTGTCGATTATTGTTTGCTGAATCAGATGTGCTACGTGTATGTCTCACAGGCAACCTTTGACCTTGTATATAGCCTTCCGAAGCATACTGCAGGAACAGTGTACTATTCAGCCAGCTGATCCCGTCCTGCTGACCTGTTTGGAAATTCTCTTTATCGATGTCCGTTGCATGCTGTTTTCTAAGTAACAAGCATCTTCTGAGGGTGCGTTCCACTTGTCAGAGGTACGTCAATGGTTCAGATATATATGCGAAACTTAGACAACCATGGTCAAATGACCGATTCATTCCCTACCTGTCATGACAGCGGTGGTACTGGATACTGAATGTCTAACGCAACATCATCATCATCGAGAGCATGATACCAGTGTTCAACACCGATGCTTCAATGCCGTACAACCATCATTTATTTTAAAGCCTTATTGTAAAGAAAAGAATAAAGGTGGATTGGGAATGGATTTGGCGCTAGCTTACCACAGTCATTCCGACGTGCCTACACCTCCAGGCATTCACTCAGGCAATCTGCCACTGATACCGGTTGGCAGCCATATCTTGTAGTGTTTTCAACCAGGCGTAATGAGGACCACGCCTGAAAGGTGAGTAGCACCGACAGCACCCAAGCGTTTTGTGATCTTTATACTCCTCTACCAAGTCAAGGGTTGGCCACCTCTGTGCTTACGCCACTCTGAATTTCTAACAACAAAACTGAAGTTACTTGTTTTCTATGGGCAGTGGTGAAAACCCTGTCGTGTATCAAATACCAGATCATCACCACTGCATCCTCAAGTTTTTATTTCACACAGCACTCATCATCAAAGTCAGCAAATATACCTAACAAATCCGTCTACAAGTTTGAACGAGCAGAAAATGTTTTTTCCTGGTCTGGGTGTATCAACTTGGGATTCACACAGTGTAACCAGAATATTCTGCCCATTTTCAAAATAAAATTCCGCCCTTATCCACTGCGGATTGGGAACGCCACCACGTCCTGCAAGGGAATGGGTCTGTAACAAACCGAAATCAATGTTCACACAAATTGTGGATGTTCAGGCTCCCGTAAACTGTAACCAGCCGCTTTGACAGTACTGACAAGTTCTCAGATGAGCAACCGATTGCCATACAAGACAGTATGAATTTCTAGCGCCTTCTCGGTCATTTCATTATCTTGGCCTCGTCGGAATTGACCAAATTACTAAGATCTCAGCGAGGTTGGCTGAGGGCATAAGTCCTATGAACGCAAAAGCATTCTTATAAAGTCCCTCACCCTTTGTTTTCCTTTTTCTTCTTGCTGCGCATTACTCTACATTTAACCAACAGTCCAAAGCGCAACATCTTTTAGCACTTAAATTCCAAATACTACAATACTACATTACAAGTAGATGCTACGGAATTTCAAATTGAAACAGTTAGCTAACTTCAAAGCAGATTGGCAATCTTTACTGAAACTGGTCACGTATCATAGTACTGATAACAGACCGATGGTTTGTTGATCGGTTCCTATCAATTTATCCGACCAGTATAAGATGGCATAAGCGAGATGCAACAATCTTGGTTTTTTCTAGTTTAACTGAACGTAGCCTGTAGCTAGGTTATTGTGCCACTGTCAGGCCAAGGATAGAAATCAAAACCTAACTGGAAGGACGATTGGTCGGCTGAAGCCATTTTTGTCCGACCTAGAACTGAGTGCAAAGTGGCTTTTGCATAATACACTTGGAAAGTAGCTATGCCAGAGCTATTCTTGCGTCGTTCAAACTCAGCCTTAGTGACGGTACGGTTTAGTTAGACGGAAAATGTGGTTGCGCAAAATTTGATCTATAACTTAACCCTCCTGCTATTTGGGTTAGTCGGGATCCGGTTCGGGTGGCCTTAATATGATCCAATGATATTTGGTTCGCGTTAAAGTTTATTTATCCTCCAAATGTGCAGCTGAACCCGTACAACAAAGCTGAACGATTTGGTTATCTAACGATAGAATCCGACTTTTTTAAGGGCTTTAAATTCCAAGTTTCTCTATTTCTTGGATTCAAGTGATAACTGTGTTAAACTAGCCCAAAACGAAGTCACCACACCATTTATTACTTAGTTAAAGTTTCATTTTGTCGTTTCATGAAGACAATAGGCCTACATTTATCAGAAACGTACTGGGGGTTAGATTTCGATTGGTTGGACTTCATGAATGTATGCTAGGTAGTGGAAAAGGTGGTTAATTCTATTAAAATGGTCTCCATAAGTTTTCTGGGTAAGCTGTAGAGTCCTTGATTGTCTTGTGCTTCGCGATACTATTTCGGTTCCTCGCGGAAATCTATAGGACAGATGGAAATTTGGCTGGTTATTACGAGGTTTGATACCACTGACGAAGTCTTCTCGAATGACGACGAAACATCTGCAATTACTAAGCTAGGTGGACAGATCAACAGCCACCTGATCGACTACCAATAGGTGCACCCGAGCTATCGTTAGTCCAACACATTGCCAAACTGTGCTTTTCGATTAACTTTAGATCGGTATGGTTTTATTTAACTCGCCCATCGAGTGCATGACTTAACTTATCCCACTTTGTTTCAGAACCCTGCAGATGTGGAGAACCTTGGAGAATTGCGTTATTTCCCGGAAGCTTCCGTAAACGGCAAAACGTAGTGAGTATCTTGTATTTTCGTGGTCCCCGGTCAACAAACACTTCGAGAAGATTAAGAGTTGTTCACTTCTTTGAGAGTGGTACTGTGTTCAAGTCCGGCAAACATAATTTGACAACTACACTCACCTACAAACCATGGGTATTCCGGAGAGGCACACTTGGGTCACAGCTGAATCTGTCGTTTGCGATGTTATTCTTCAGTTGAATATGCTGCACCAAAACCCTTCATGTTTCTGTTGATGCGATATTCGAGTATCCTAATACATTGTTTGGATGTAACACGCCACTCACAGGTTTGCCGACAACTCTTCGGCAGGCCCCGACCGGTTCCACCTTCTTGTAGGAGGGCATCATAAGCAGGGGATTCAGCTGGGTTCTGGGTGAGTCTCCCGTCAAAACTAATTTCGTTTTCAAATGAGTGTGTTAGTCGAAATCAGTCTAATGTGGGTGCAAGTAGAACATGAGGTTGACGGAAACTCGAGACTGAGCCTACCTGATTGGCCCCAAGAGGGTGAAACCGGCCATGGGTTTCCGAAGACTGTTCAGAGGCCTTATGGGTAGTGCATTACGTCGTCTATACGTTGATCGAGTTCTCCGTTGAATTCCGCGTTGACCGCACGCTATTGCTAGCTTTCGGGTGGCAAACGGCGGAATGTGTACAGTGCACGCCGCTGTGCCACTGTCATTCCGTGAAAAGCTCTACTTCCTGAAGCATCATCAAAGTGTTATGCACGCCCAACCAACTTCGCAGTGATGCTCTCCTGCAATTAACCGATAATCTTCGCAACTCACCTGACCGAATACCTTTGGGCGGACTTCCATTAAATTTTTCCACGAGTATTTTGTAGCCCAAATTACGGACGTTGGGGTAGTTATGAATGTTCCCGATGCACACGTTGTATTCGTAGTTGATGAATGGCCGATGTATTTCTAGAATGCATTTGTAAGTTTGGCAAGTGACGTCATCGGAGTCATGTTCGCTAAGAATGGGCCAGCTAACAATCGGGCATGCATGTGAATTCTTCAAAACCCGTCGACTGAAAAGTCCTCAGTAGTGTGAAAAAACTCGATGGAAAAACATCTGAGTACGTTACGTGTTTCGACAGCAAGCACCTTTTAAATCAACGGCTTGCTGTTTGAACCAATCACTCATGGGTTTCTGATGGTAGACATAATGGATTTTTGGTTCTAATCGCCCTTATCAACCAGTCGACGTGAATCCAGTGAGATGTGACCTTAAATTGTCTATCCATTGTGTGAAACAGCCGTAATTTTTCTTACAGTTTCGCTACCACTCTAGGTACGACCGTCATTTTTGGCCGATTTGCGAAATGCAAGAAGCCTAATTATAAATAAATAGATCGTTTAGCCGTATTACTCTCGGTGGCTAGCTGCCATGCCGACGGAAAGAGGCACGAGGGCTGAGATGCTGCCAGGTCGCCCAAGCGTATATAAGAGCAGTCGAGATGCTCTAGTTGGGTTCGAAACACGAACCTTCCGGTCCGTAGGCTGGCGCCATTACCATTGAGCTATCTGGAGGTTGAAAAGCTTTTTTCATATCATAGGTTCAAAAATGTAGTGGTCAGAGTGGATGTTTATGGGTACTATTACTGTTGCGCATTAGGTTCTCCATTTTTCAACACCAGAATAGCGTACTTTGTCCACCTCATGAGATCAGCCTCAGAATTCCACGTGCTTTGTTGGTTTACAGTGGTTAGTCTACCATCAGGAAGAAAAAAATTGGCTCTGAACCTTTTTTTGTAGTTTTAGAAAAATGGCCTGTTGACCCAACCACTGTGCTGTTTTTTGTTCCACTTTTATTACAACCAAATTCCAATTGTGTCCACGTCATATCAAATTGCACCTCCCATTGCCATGCACACCAATGAATATACATTTTGTCCTGCGTCTTGTAAGCATGTCGTGAAATTCCAATCCGTGCACGAAATTATTCGACTATTCTGCTGAGTGACCAGAATTGTTCGTTCCTATGTGGAGTTCACATTTTTTTCGAATATAACTTCACTTGCGATTAAAAAATGGACGAAATGTTTTCCCAGGCAGTCCGTTGTACAGCCCCATATATCGCTTTCTACTCCCAACTGGAGGCTGAGATCTTCAAAGTGGCTGGATTCTAGTGCTTCCTGTGAGAATCGCAAAGGCCAGCGCCAGCACGAAATCCAGCATTGCCAAATTGACGATAACGGTGAAGGCACGAAACACAACTGAGCAAATACTAGGACGTCAAGACCTAAGGAATTTACGCATTCTTACATTTTCCTACCTTCCAATTGTCATGATAATCATTTGTCAGTTTATAACTACAGTGAAGAATCTAGACCTCCAGTTTTACTTACCATATGAGAAATACTATTCTTAGATCCTTTGTACTGTGTATAATATGGCGGAAAACCCGGGATTTCATTGAGAATGACACACTGTGAACGAAAGTGGCCCTTTTGATAAAGTCAACCGACATGGGGTCATTCGAGCTAGAACTCGACAGCAAAGAGTAATTGTCAGCTATAATTGAACTTCTGAGGATAAAATACGCCTCAGAGACGGTATGGGACCCACAAATAAATCCACCACTTGAACAGTGGATCAATACCAGTTCACGTGGACGACGTCTGTACTTTTGAAGTACTGATGGTTATATATACTGCCCAAGGACCAGGGGACTCCGCACGCCCGCAGCCGAAGAACGATTTCCCGTCCGATAGGTTTTGTATTTGCATCCCCGCCAAACCAATCCGTCATCCTGGGCTGATACGATCTAACTACCCATCACGAGTTTTGGTCCATCATACCACTGACCAGTGCTCAAAAGATTCGGTATCGCGAACAACTTTGACGGGACCTTTCCCAAAGGGTGCACTCGAATGCATCCACAATACCTCCAACTGAACAGTAAAATGAAGGCGGCTGTACTTTTTGTAATCGAATTTAAAATTCGAAATCTCGTCAAGTAGATTGATGACGAATTTCTATCCATTATGGAACTTTGCATTGGACGCGTTCGCCCCGCTACCGGACGAAAATCTGCCCTATGAAGATTATATGAACTCAACAATGAGGTCGTCGCCAGTTGACGGACGAGTGCTGTAGAGGTATCCAGCACTTGATCGAAGTGAAAAGTATCCCAGTATATTCTGTTTTAGAGGACCTCTTGATCCGGAGAAGGATGCAAGAATTGGCATGACGCACGCGGCATCGATTCGCGATCTCAGTCGACCCATTGAGAAACAGGTTTTCAAGAAATTATGCAAGATGACACTGGTTACACACAAAAAGAGTTATTTCCTCAGCCTAAGCCATTCGGATCAAGCGTTCCACGTCCGTGAGGATTACTATAGATCCACAAGGTTAGTGTCTCAGTGGTACCCGTTTTCCGCAGGCCGGCTTAACAGTACCATAGCTGACTACCCGTTGTACACTCTGTTAGGGTGTCCCATTTCCTAATAGCGTAAATTCTCAAGCAAATTTCACTAGGTTCCGAGTCAGTGTGCTCTCTAGTTGTCAACTCTTTGCCATACCGTGTACTATTGAACTTTGTTACTTCTCAAAGCACTTTTGTTGGTATGTATCCGAATTCGCTCAAAGAACCAATCCCCCTATACACGGAGAACGTCCTATCCGAATTTGATAATGGCATACAGATGAGTAACTGAAATACGATGAACAGACTCTAATAACTCGTTAGCTGGTGTTCTTCCGATAGCCTACAGCCCATCTTTACAGGTATTGCTCTGCTGATGTGTCAGCGGATCCCGATACTCCGACTAAACAGAGGGTGGCTTGGTAATTCCAGATATTTTTGAGAGAGGCGGAAAATCTGTGTACCGCGCGCCAACCTGGCAGAACAGCGCACGCTATTCACAAGTTGTGCACCCAGCTGGTTGAGAATGCAGTTCGGTGAACACCCTATGCAGTAACGCAAGGAATATTTCGTGCGATAAAACCCTCTACAGCCAACGAGTACATGAAGCTCAAAAATTGCCATTACTGTCGGACCGGACAGAAAAACAACTCACTATCTAGATTAATCTTTCTCTGAGCGGCCCGCAGCAGAGGAGCCTGTCTAAACCAAGTCAACCGGTGTGAAGGATGATGGACACAATCATTCCTAGGCACAAGTCTACTACACTACGGATCAAAGACCCACAGTGTCCAAACTCCTATGCGGATAGTTGCAGTCTCCAGTCCCCTTAAATATTTGTGAGATGGTGAGAGGCAGAAAGAACCGGACAGCTGTACACTGCTTTCAGGATTTTCAGCATAATGACTTAAATTATAAAATACACCACCATAGAAAATGAGCGGAATAGGGTGTTCTCTTTGAATTAGTGTCCAAATAACCACTTTGCTTCCCCATTTTACGGTTAAGAACGTCATATCACGTAGGCAAGAATGTTATGATGTGAGCAACTGAGACGGCGTAATGCAATAACAAAGCAATCGAGAGAACGTCACGAACTATTTCATAATTTATCTGCGTCGGTATTGTCTGTGGGAGCAGATACTGGTAAACCTTGTTATCTGAGTGTAATGATTTCGTGTTATTCCCCTTTTTGATTGTCTTCCTGAACCTCCAAACATATATCGCTTGAATTCCAATGTTTATTTTTCCTCCATCTCTCCAGCGGCTACTTTGACAGCATTTACTTCCCGTTCATTGGACAACCTGGCTATTTGGGTCCGCTTGTTGCGGTCAAATTCGAAAACGTCAGGCGAAATGTGGCCATCTTGGTCGAATGCAAACTGCGCAACTTGAACAATGCCCTCGACACGCAACTCGCATTTGAAATCATGGTAAACTAGATTTTAAAGCGCACTGCGACGAGATTAGGCAACGTCCAGCTCTCCACATTCTCCATGAGTATGTACACGCGCGTGCTATACCGTATGATTTCCGTTCTCACCCTTAGCGCCCATTGTTTTCTCCCTTTCCATCAACTTAAGAACAGAGCACACACACAAAAGCACACCCCTAGCACATGAATATCTCGCTATCTTTCAGAGCTGTACAAACATTCATACTAACCCACACGCAACTTAATATGATTGACTTAGTCTTCGACTGTTTCTAGTCCTTCGCTGATCTTTTATCGTTGTTTCCCGGCTACCTCTATCTCGGGACTCAAACGCCTGCTGTTCGACCTGTTTTATGCCCGTACTTCTCTTTACACTGCATTTAGTCTTTTCACAAGCTCAACGCTCCTAGTCCAAACTAGTACAAGACTCGTTGTTTGATAAAAAGGAGCTAGTGGTAATGTAGTAGCAGTATAAGTCTAATCCAAGAAACTGTTCTTGTCTTCTCTTTACCCTTCTGGGCGCAGTGTACCAATCACTCGCAAATTTGGTAAGCAATCAACACACCATATACAACGGTCGATAGATAACGACTCCACCAGATAGAGATATGGCTCCACACAGAAGCAACTAGCCCGGGAAGTTTATAACTACACCCGCGTTGAGGGCACGACATTGTACCAATGAAGTAGAAGTTTTCCTTGCAGTGATCTTCACTAGGTCATGGGAGAGGAGCTATACCTTGGCTATAAACGATTCTCAGCATAGTCCATGTAATGTGTAATGTATTTAATGTAATCTTCAGTACTAACTGGTGGATCTGGAAGTCGCCAATCCATACTTCTTGCTCAGTACCCTATCCATGAATCTGTCAGCAGTGCTTTGGAATATCGACTTACTGGTTTTCGGCTCGTTCGCCGGGTTCATCATTTAGCTTGCGAACATTTCCTCATAGTTCGATGGGAAATGTCAATGTGCCCACAGAGGAACTAGTAACGCTCCTCTGGTGGTTATGAAAGGCCTGCAAACCAAAGGCCAAATTCGCCAAGGGGATGAACAAATAACGACCAAATACCTGTAATGTATGCTGACGGTATTCCTCAATTTTCGTTGCCTTTATCTTTGAACGTATTACCTCGTCTTCGGTAGCGAAGCACCGGTGTTGAACGCTGATGTTATACTGTCGCCAATGATAACCTTGTATTCCAGTAGTTCGTAGAATGTATCCCGACCCAGTACAGAGTACAAAGAAACCGCTTATTTTACTTACGGTAGGATACTTCTTTGTTTCTCGTTCTTGATGGGGATGTTATCCGGTTGTACCTTCCCTCATAAAATTTAGTCACTTACTGAATTAGTGAAAACTTTTGGCCTGTTTGTATGAGAAAATGGACCTCTCAAAAGACTACTTCCACAAGCGGTCATTGTGGCTGGTACATGGAACAGCAGTGTGCCAACACAAGGTTTATTTGTAAAGCGGGCTACAAAAAGAGAAATGATAATGCAAATCTGAAGAAGCTTACGGACAGTTTGGACCATCGGTAAAAGAAACACCTCCGTTTTCCTCCTAAGTAGAACACATCGAGCTAATACTTCACGCTGTGGGTCTGTGACATTTGGCTTCGGATCAATACGTTTGAGACCATTCTCTCGTCCAAATTTAAGAACCAAAAGGCAAGTGCTGTGTATTTGCCCGCCAACATAACGGATAACTGGGGTTCTCAAAACAATGTCTTACTCCATACGGCCCCTAGCCATTCATCACGATCATCGACAGCATAACATCAGAGTTCAATACTGGTGCTTCGCAGCCGTATAATTCATGGTTGTACGTGAGCTGGAATACTGCTAGGGCGCCCACACCTGGACAGGAGCACAATTAGGGTTCTCAACCAAAGCCTTCGACTCAAGAGCCTGACTGCAAGGTAGCGGTGTCTGGGGAGGAATGCAGGCGCATTATCATTTTCACAATACACGTTCCAACCCCCAACCTAGAAGGCCAGGAGACTGTGTTCATCAGACCTCTGACCAACTTGGTATGAGAGATTGCGTCTTACCTCAGAATAGATCACTGGGTCGCGCAGGTGCACAAACCGCCAAACCACGGTAAGGTCCAGTGTCTTCGTGACACTTCGTAGCTCCTACAGCTACATAGACCCGAACCATGTCCAGGACACTCCGTGACAGAGGCTCTGGAGCCATGTGCGCCAAAAATACATGGATGTCTGTGCGATATTCTAACTGCTCAACGAGCCTCTTCTAACGTGGAACCTTGGCCTTTGAATCCAAGTCTTCTTCAAAAAATGGCCACCTTAGTTATGACGAAACTGCACTCCCTACTAATTGGTAGGTACTGTAATCGTACATCAACCTAACGGTGCTTTTATTGGTCCTCTATTTTCAACGTTCCCGTTTGACGTGGAAAGTGGCGATTTCGGGTGATTCGTTGCTTTGGGCGGTCTCGCAGAGTGAACGATAAGTCATGTTTTCACTCGTAAGAGTAAACTATTGGAGACTGGCATCCTTACTAGCCTGACAACTTCAAAATGCAAGGCTTCGTGTGATTCAACCCGTCTGTTGGCACAAGAACTACGCACATTGGAAGGTGGTTTTCAGAATGTAACCCCCCCCCCGCTTCTAAGGACATCGGTGAAGCGAATAAGTGGTAGTCCTATTGCAAAACCGTTTCCGTTCTGACAGAATGCACGAGACAATGCGGAACAGGAGTTGTCCGTCGAATCCGACGTTCCTCTCATTCTTTTAAGCAGTGCATTTCAGAATATACACATCAAATGTAACAATAACTAAGCGGAGCCTAAGCATGCATCCTCCACTAAGAGGAATCGCACGGGCAGAACTCCAGAAACAAGGCATCCGACCGTCGAACATACGAAAATTAAGCGGACCTGCAGAGAGGTAAATAAGGGTCCACATTCACGTAGAATAACTGGGGACGGTAGGTCAGGGCCACAAAATGAGTTCGAACTTCGCCAGCATCGTCCTACGACTAACTCTCTTCTCATATCAACAAACGATCTTTTGTCACAACGTACACGTATTTGCCAATGCCCAACATGTGGAATGTGAAAACCATCCAAAAAGATTCAAAGGATTTACAAAATAATCCAACTGAGTTATGTACATGTCACAAAGCAAGAATGATAGGTTCAAAATTTCACCAACATGTTTCGGAAGGATTCGATTGCGTGGTGCCTGCGGAGAAAGAGAAAATGATTTCAGTGTAAAACTTTGAGTGGTACGGAGAACGAGCTAAGAACATGTTTCGATTCGATTGCGTGGTGCCTGCGGAGAAAGAGAAAATGATTTCAGTGTAAAACTTTGAGTGGTACGGAGAACGAGCTAAGATGCTATTTCCTGTCACTTCTCGTACGCGTACTGGAGACCCGGGTGTCAGTTTGCTAGAGCCCGCAGCTGAGAATATCTGTCTTGCAGAACTTACTGCTGTGAAGTCCTTATTGTTGTATACGGTACCTTCAGCTGATCACTCTACGTTCAGACCATGGCCACGTTTTTTATGCTCCAAGCACACTCTGTCCCTCTGAATCACATTCGTAAGTGTCAATGCATACATGTACAAAGGTCACATTCACGAGAACTTCCAAATAGAGTCATTCTACGTTAGATATCCGGCTAGAATGCTTTTTCACCGTTCTAATACTTACGTACTTATGTATACATGTGTTACGGGTATGTGCTGACAGTTCACCTAGCTAAATTTATAGTCGCTCTTCACTTGACTGGTATGTCACCGGTCTCTATGACCGATGGAAAACAACTGATCTGCTGACTGATTGTGCATGTCGGTCAGACGCGAACATATTCGTCCATTCAGAAGTGCGCCCAGCGTGTATTGGTGTAATACTGGTACACGCTGACATTGTAGTTCAAGTCCCGCTCCGGTTGATGATATGAATTGCTGCTGGGCAAAACAAAAACCGAGTCCGGTGCCTTTTGATTTAGTGCGCGCAGTTCAGAAAAGCCATGCCAATAGTTTTTCGGGTAAGAATTTCAAAACCCCAAAACTACTGATTAAACCCCATAAGTGTAAAGTGAGAATTCGTCTATGGAAAGTGTAGGAAACGCTTGATATACAGCAGCCTAACCGGACGATTCGGTCCAGGTGTTAATGTGCTAAAACTGTGATTTACAACACATGCATATGTAAAAAGTGAAGCTAGTACCTGAAAAATGAAACCACTAGAACACAGTTTTTGAGTCGCTTGGGGAATAGATTTTAGCCACGTATATTGATCGAACCAGAAGCGCAAACATCCGTTCATAACCGAAAATAGGTTCGGAAAAGAAATCTTACGTGGCTGTTGATCGCGACTTGAGAGAAGTCAAGGATCTGCTTTCGTTTCCCGCCGAGGTCCCGGGGTTGGGCTTTGATTTTGCCTTCTTCTTCCGCTTGCGGCTCGCCAACGTTTTGGCATCCATAGCCGACTCAGCAGACCCTGAAGCCCACCGCTGGATGAGCGTAAATGGATCCAGAAGGGTAGATGATGGTGAATGAGTGTTGGGAGGTCGTGTGGATGGATCGATTAATGGCTGACGACTGCTTTCAGACACTTCTGTCGCGTTCTGGAGCTGAAGTCGTGTATGTAACAACGCGCGACGCAGTAAAGTCGTGTGGCGTTTTTTGCACCCTGGTTTACTGATTCCACCCTGATGAGGACCCTTCAGCTGTTTGCGAACCCAACTCTTTGAAACGGTCGAATGCGCCTCGAACTCATCGTCACTGAAACTTTCTTGTTCAATGGGTTCTGGATTTGATTCTTCTGAATTAACTGATAGATCCTGTGAGACGAAAATAAACATCAGGTAACTGTCGCACGGACTGCTTTGAAAAGGGCTTTATTATTAATGAACCACAAAAAAATCACTAAAACAGAGAACAGTTCGCGTCCTTTCTCCCGCTTTCACAACCATGCTCCCCGTAAGATGTTAAGATTGGAATTTAGTAGCTTTCACCAGTACTGAGAAATAGGGTGCAATCGCAGTTCATTATGGAGGCCACATTCTTCGACGAAAACCATTTGGTTGGCCAAAAAGCGAAGTAAATGTTTCTTGACATAAAAAACTACTTACAACGTTGCAACAGTGTGGGTAGTCTACTAAGTAGAGAAAATATGCTGCGATATTTTTAATAACGTGCCGATCGAAACATGAGATGGCTTCAGTACAGCACATTCAGATGAAGAATATCATGAATGAGAGTTTTAGTTGGGTGCACTATTCCAAGTGCCTTCATCATCATCAACAGCATGACATCAGTGTTCAACACCGATGCTTCACTACCTTCAATAGATATCTCTTTGGATTTGTTGTGTCGCATGGTATTCCGTGCCAATAGTAGTACAGCTCATTTTGCGAGGTTTCTTTCCAGTTAGCTGTTATCCATGGAACTAAGTCGTGAGATAATCCTGGTTATACTCGTGCTTAGGAATAAGGATTACCTAAATGGTACAGCTATATTTGCTGAAGCTGTTAACAGGTTGCACAGATTTTTTATCCGACTAACGTCTAGACTTAACATGAGTCGGTCCAAAGCACGTATTCCACGAATCACGACCTCGAAATATGTACGACGTGTGCCAGAAAATATGTGCATTAGAAAGCTGCCCATGATAAATATGGTGGTAATAAAGCGTAGATCAAAATAGCGACCTCAACCTCTTGAGGAGTGATGCATGCCTAAGTGTGCGCAGTCCTACTAAAACTGAGTTCATCGGTATAGCCTAACAACAACGGAGCGGACATGTAGCTCACAAGAAAAATGCGCGATGCTGCTCATTCCCAGTAAGGATGAAACAGTTGGGTAATACTTCTCGACATTTCGTCTACAGAACGAAGTTTCAATTGAGGATATCTCCTCACACTACCATCATCTTATAAGTAGCTCGGAGGCATGAGTGAAACTCCCATCTGAAAAGTCATCACTGAGTCAGTCAATATGTGACCACATGATGTGATTTCCCAGTTTGAAGATTGATGGCACTATATCTTGAAGTGTATGAGTTAGTCACACTGCTGACCAGCCGCCCGCCACCGGACGGCTGATGTTCGAGCAACTAGAACAGAGGCAGCAGGTTCGAAACTCTGGAGTTTCGTGTGATGCGCACTGTTGATGATTCTCAGCAAGGAAGAAACAACGTACAGTGCTTCTCGACGCAAGCTGGCTTCACTTACAGGACGGAATCTCGATAGAAAAATAAATACACTCTACCTCGAGCTCGAGAGAGCCCGGTGGTCAAGATGCGAATTTGCTGACCACATGTTCGTGCTTCGAAACCCAATCGACTGTTCCTGTGTGGGCTTGGGTAACCTGGCATTATTTCAGCCTTCGTGTGCAATGGAAGCTAGATGCAGAAAGAGCGTCACACCTGAACTATCTTACTACCTCTATCACTAAAAGGAATCTGTTACCCCATGGTTCGGATGAGCCCCAGTTGGGCGGAATTTTGTCCAGTGCTTCGTTCGTTGTGACCGAACGGAACTTCGGAAGAAGAACCGCCACCTGCCAGTGCATACGGAGGACACAGTAGACTGTTGCTTGTATGCTTGCTTGTACGAGACTGGGCACGATAACCACAAAGCCACACACCCAACCGCCGCGTCGTTATTGCGTAATGGCGTACGTTTGAACTTATTATAACAAAGAGTGTACCGCAGCATTACCATTGACAGAAAAATTCCAGTGGTCAATAACGCTGCTCAGGTTTCATTAAACCACCAGGAAAGAACTCCTGGAACTGTGAAGAAAAGTACGAAAGCAGTGCGAAACACCCTTCAGTTCATACGGAAAATGATTAAGGACAGAAGTGAGACGAAACCTTCTGTTTATCATGTCCCAGTAGGTCACTGAGAGCGTGCAAAGCTAGCTAGTTTGTTCGCAACTGGACTCGGTTACATAAAAATGGCTCAAAACTTGTGAACTGGATCACATGCGCCTCATCCACACAGCTCAGAAATTCTCACAGCACCTAATTCGACCATAGACAAGTGGCTGGCAAAAATTTGAAATGGAAAGCAATGCTTTCTCCGTAGACGGCGGTCATATATATACAGCACATATCCAAACCACCTAAACTCGATAAATCGTACTTCCCACTCTGGAACACGCTGAATCCATCTATCAAACAATACTACGAATACACCGGTCATAAGTTATCTGGAGGCGACTTAAATCTTCAGATCGGAGTGGTCAGATCGGCGTAAACTCTGTATGAGCAAAAGTGCTGGGACAGGAAGCGCAAGGTATATTTACGAATTACAAGGGAAGTTTGTTTCGTCTAAATATATGCAGCTATCTCACCTACAAAATAAAAAACAGCGACCATTGATAGGTCCAGCGCGACTATCTGAAGCAACGTAAGAATGGAATTGGTGCGGTCCCTACTTAGCTGAAGTCCTGCTTTGCGCTCTCATTTTTGCGTCTAATGTACTGAAGTTAAATATTGCATTATAATTGAAGCGAACAGTCGTGTATAACAAGTCTAAGGCCAATATATGTGCGACTAAAACAGTCTCTTCAGATACTTTTTCAGAAAAAAAGTGAGACGACCGATTCCCTGGAAGCCAGTGTTGTTACCAACTAAGTTCAATTTAGTCAAACGACGACATAGACACTCTGTCGGTGAATTTATGACGGAAACGCGCACCAACACCTCGTGCACTGGAAGCGGATCTAAAGTGACAGATCGCTGACAGATTTGAGCACGTTGAATGGAAGAAAGTGAAAGTACAGACGGTCAAATAAACCGCTTTTGGAAATACTAAACCAGACGAGCTGAATGCTAGCTTTCGTTACACACATTAATCTAAATATTCTGAGGATAACGTTCTAATACGATTTTGCGGATTGGCGTCTGTGCATTTAATTCAGTACATACAAAAGCTGCAGTTGAGCTCAAGCCTGACCAACCGGATAGCTGAACTATGCTGTTGGAAAACAGGATGCAGTACCTCGCACCATGAAAGAAACCATGTCCCATAGGAGCTTGGAAACATCAGAATGAGTTTCCGGAGTTGTGCACAGCTTTCATTATAACAACCACAATCCTACAAGAAGCCCACTGGTAGGCCAGTGAATAGAAACATTTTAGGTTTTCTGGGTCATGGTCGACAGCACGACATCAGTGTTCAACATCGATGCGTCGCTGCCGTACAACAATGATTTATATGAAAGTCCTATTGCGAAGGAAATAATAAAAGTGGGTGGGGAAGGAAGTTTGTGCTAGCCTACTACAATCATCCCAAAGGTGCCTACACCTCCAGACATTCACTCAGGCAATCTGGACAGAAACTGACAACAAGAACGCCACTGACATCGGTTGGCAACCATATCTTGTAGTGTCTCCAACCAGGTACAGTGAGGATCACGCGGTCCCCATCCTGGAAGGCGTGTCGTGTAGCACGCACCCAAGCGTTTCGTGATCCCCTTCATACTCCTCTGCCAAGTCAAGGGTTGGCCACCTCTTTGTTTACGCCATTCTGATCTGAACATGAAAAACAGCACTCTCTTCAGCAAACGATGGTTCGGCATACGCAACACATGTCCAATCAACGCAGCTTCTGGTGCTGGGTACATTCTTCAATGTAGGTACCCGCTGTACAACCGAAAAAGCACTTTCTAATTGCCTCGCTCGGCTTTGTCGAGACCAACTCACACGAGCTATAAATCTGAGACAACAGGTGTCGAACACCTGAAGACGTCTCAGTTCCACACAACAAAACAGCCCGCACTGTAGCTGGACACAAACGTCCCTTGAGATTCAGAGATACGCCACCTTGACGCCATAGATGTTTCAAATTAGCAAACGCGACCAGGACCTTGCATATTCGTGCATTGATTTAATCTGTGAGCGTTCCAGGCAGTATAAGCAGTTGGATTGAAGTTAAGACCTGGTCGAAGAGATCGTTTGCCCATGATTGTCTCAAGTAAGTAATTTCACACAAAATCATCATTCACCTGTGGCACTCTTTCGGTGTCTAAATGCCATGGCACCCGAGGGAAGTATGAGGGTCGGGATACTACCACGTTGTCCAAGCCTAGACAGAGGAATTCGAGAGGCAGAGGTCGGGTTCGAACCATGGACCTTGCGGTCAGTAAATTCGAGCCGAAACCATTGAGCCCCATTTTACACAAGAATTAAAACGAGCCGACATTATCCGAATAAGCTTGCTGTGTCTGAGCAACGCGCAACCATTGCAAATCACTCTGCACCAAGGTCCAAAGGTTGTCAAGATTTTGGCTATCGGAATCATGTGGACGCTATAGTGAAATGCGAAAAGCGAGACATTTGCTTCCTGTTATTACAGTATTATTTTAGTCGAGCCATTGTTACTTGTTCCGAATTTCTTATTACAAGTTGAAATCAGCGGACATTTTCGAGTGACAATCAGCTAACATCAACCCCACAAACAAACCCACTATATCGGGTACACTTGTGTATAGTAAACGCTGGGAACAAAGCATGGAAAAGAGGATATCAGATTTCACCTGGGTGGTGGTCGAAAGATGACACTAGTGTATTTTTAATTAGTGTTTTTACGGCAGGGTTTATTTTGAGTGTGATTCACAACTGAAATCTAGTATATTACCACGTAACCCAAAATGAGTAACTGGTGACATCACGCCCATGGGGGAAATAAGCTGAAAGGCTGGGTGACTGCGCTGGACCGGTTGGGTTAACATGTGTCAACAAGTCAAGTTTGCTCATGGTGAAGCGACTCCTTACTAGGGAAATCTGTAGTCACAGTCGACCCAGGGAAATATGGACTATCCCAATACACCTAAGGAACATCATAGTTAGGCAACACAGTCTACTGAACAGGTACGAGTCACGATTCCGTGAAACATCGCCAAAAAACATACGAGGACTTGGGTTGCAAGGATGACTAAAAGCTCACAGGTCTCACCATTAAGTCAACTCATCCGTTCGTGAGATCAGGTGACTTTGCGGAGTCGACAAGCATCAACCATTCAAAACTGTTCATGAATGTTCTGCACCACTTCATAGCAAAGTGCCATCGTTGTGGAAAATATGGAGTTAAAGAGAATACCAAAATGACAGAGCATCCAAATTTGAAGGTCCCATTACATCATGTCCGTGGAAAGACATCCTCAAGTCCGCCCTCACAATCTATATAACGAGCCCAAACTGTCTGGAAAGTGACACCATAACTTGAATCAGGAAATGTGAAGATTCAAAATAGAAACACAAGAAGGAATACCAACCATCGGACGGATTTGGGTCTGTTCAGAGTCAGATCTCCTGAGAAGGTCTTTCTCCCGCTTGCTCAAGTGGAGAATGAATCCTTCTGCATCCGGCAAAAGAGATTCACACGGCGGACGCCCGACAGTGGTCGGACGCGGCCGGGTCCGGTTAGAAAGGTGACGATTTTCATAGTGCCTATCCGCGTTGTTTCTGTTGATCTTTCGCCTTAAAGCTGATTTGGTCATTCCTAGCGAACGACTTAGAGAAATGATCTCAATAACACTGCTGAAACAGAAATGGTAGTTAATTTAAGTGGTACGCTGACATGCCAGAACGTCTGAATGTTCACTTTCATCTAGTAGTTCTCAAGACTACAGAGGTGTTGGTCAGATAGTCAGTCAGCTCGCAAACCACGTACCGAAATGCAGTGGTCCAGACGCTACAACTTCGATCACATAGGATACACAGAATAAGGGACTGTGAGCTACGCGTTGAAGCCGATGGCCCAATCTGTGCACCGATGACAAATGAAACAGTTTGCTACGTATACAAGGAGGTGGGAGCTACGTGGTGAAGACGGTAGCTTTGATGCAAGGCCACCGCTGGTGGCATGATTCATCCATCCCTGTAAGGGTCAATATTATCATCATCATCATCATCATCATCA